TCTACGAATTATTTCATTGGCTACTGAACATCTAAAGATAAATTTAAGGAAGCCTTAAATATAAGATCTGACTATGAATACGGGCATTGATATTCGTCAATTTCTATCACGTGATTTATATTGACACCGAAAATGAGCGTCGAACTTCAGCATGAAAAGGTACCTTTAAATCCTCAAATATTTTTGCATTTAAAATAAGATAGATATATATTTGGACGTTGAAAAGAGAGAAAGCGAAGATGCTGAGTGCAAAAAGTGCATGAAATGCGAACAGACCTATTGTGGGCATTCGTGGCTGCGGTCCATTTGACGCTCAAACGCTTCGAAGCATTCTTTGATTAGTCAATTCGTAAAATTCTTTGTTCTGATTGGTCACTCAAACGCGTATTATATTCACAAGTACTGAAAATTTATGAAACTATTATATATTTTCAGTACTTGCAGTGAATAATGAACGCACCTTTAAGCCGAGGGGAACATCCTTAGAACATCTTTTGAATATCTTAAGAATATTTCTTGAAGATGTGTTCCGTACATTGTATTTTTTTGTACTTAAAATGAGATAGATCCTTAAACATTAAAAAATTATTAAACTTGATTATTAAACGTTAAAAACAAGAATTTTTTATTTCGAAAAAATATAGGAATCTGGACAATTTTATTTAGGGAAAACCTCAGATCGAACTTCTTTCAATTAGGGCCACTTTTACCAAGTCCGATTAACTTAATCGATTAGTCCATTGGAATTGACTAATCCATTTCTGAAATCAATTGTGGTACTTTAGAAATCTAGTGACTTTAGCTTTTAGGCATCTGTAGCGCACCCTAGGAACCAAAGCAGAACGAATTTCCTGAAGTTAGCCGCACTGATATTTACATACTTACCGAGCAGATGACAGCAGATGCGGTGACAGACATATATTGGAGCATCTCGCAACTTTTACTCTGAATTTATTTTAAATTTACGACCGGATTGCATCAGATTTCAGTTTAATTCACGTAGTCTTGAATTAGTTAGCATCTTTACATTGATATTGTTTGAGGAAAATGTATTTATCGTACGATTAACGACAGCTAACCTCTCGGCAGACGCTACAGTTGCCGGAAAGTTATCATTTAAGGGTAAGTTCTCTTGTTTTTCACTCAATTTGTTTTGAATATATAAAAATATATGTAGACAAATGTTTAAACTGTCAAACGTCCTTTCCTTTCTTTTTTTTCTCCTTGTACAAAATAAATATCTCTCCGTAGTGCTGCTATGATCATTTTGCAAAAGAAAATATTTAGGTTCGATTTCTTATCAATGTAAGATTAACTTTAATCTCGGTTCAATTCTAAGAATTAGAAGAAGATAAAGAGTAAATTGGACCGAGATTACAAGAATAAATTTCTTTATTTTCTTCTAATTCGAAGAATTAAAAAAGAATATAAAGAGTAAATTGAACCGAGATTAAAGTTATTCTTATATTGATGGAACCAGACCTTAGATAATGAAAAGAAGCATAATAAAGATAACAATAACAAATAATAATAGAGTGAAAATGATAAATAAGAGAGAAGAGAGTCGGGTATGAAAATAAATCGCCGTCTCGTAAACATAATGTGTCGTACGTACTAATTATTTCAGCGTTATTTGTCTTTAATAACAACAATCTGTATAAATAATACATCTTTTGCGTTATGCCACGACATCGAAGGAACGATGCTATAGCGAATGTGTTTCTACGCGCGATTTCGCGGCGCCGTCACGTCGTCGCCGCGGATCCCGGGCGGGATACACAATTCCGATATATAAATAACGCGCGAATATATCTGCGTGTGCGTTATACCTCTTATTTGTAAGAATGATAATATACTTTTTGGCACTTACTAATAATTAAATCGAAACCTGGTGAGGGGGGAGGGGGTGTGAGGATGAGGGGTGTGAGGGATGATTTTTATTTATTTATTGAACATTAGACGAATGAGTTAGGCTCGATTTTCGCGAGAGAGAGATCTCTCGGCAACAATCCTTTCTCTCCTCCGTTCTTTTTCTCCCCGAACTCCGCCTTAAGATCGTTTCCGAAGCGAATCTACGTTATGTGTATAAGGAGAGCCGATCTCTTTCTCGCTAGAGAATGTCCGGGATAATTCAGTACGTGGTGGTGCGGGGAGATCTTGCGAGGACGATGGGATGGCCGTTGGGCGCCGTGATCGCCCAAGCGTGTCACGCGTGCACCGCCGTTATCCATCTCTCTTACAATGACGCCCACACGCAGGCCTACCTCGCGGATTTAGACAACATGCACAAGGTGGTCCTCGAAGTAAGTATTGACTTTCGCGAGGAAAGTTCGCGAGCCGTTAATCCGCGCGCGTTTGATCGCGGGATATGTTTGTTCCGCGATGTATTTGCAGAGGGAGAATTAACTTTGACGCATTATAGGTCTGTTCCTTGTGACTAAACTTATGAGCGTATCCAAGATTTTTTTTTCGGGGAGATTAACAATTCTGTTATCACATATAAATAGCAATTTTTTGCGACAACGAATTGTTTTTTTGGATATTGTATCATTTAGAATGTTTCCTTTTCATTCCTGATTTTAAATGGAAAAAATATTAGGTTTTGGAAATTATAACTTTGTTTTTTCTGAAGAAAATATAAGCAAAATATACACTGAGAGAAAAGTGTTTGGTATTTGTGACTATAATTGCATGGTAAAATAATTATAGTTAGGAGCTTCTTCTTTTTTATGGTTATTAGTGTTATAATTTAGTAATATAATAACCATGTATGTGAAAAATTGTACCATAAATTATGATAATTTCAAAAATTAATATAATAAAATATCACGATGTACATAAATGGTATAAATAAAATAAACATTTTTATTTAGTAAATGCAATTGAAATTATGGTGAATATTCTTTATTCATTTATTATTTATATGATAATAATAACTAAAAAATATATAATGTTAAGAAAAACTAAAGATTTTCAAGCAGTATATTATGAATAACAATTAATTATATTTAAATATACAATTGTCCCAAAAAGAAACTAAATTATAATTAAATTATGGTAATTGCAACCATTATTTTCTCTCAGTGTAGTGGAGCAAAAATTTCATGGGGAAGAGAGAGGTTCAAACCTCCAAACCCTCCCCTAGATACTTAAAATAAAATAGATATATATTTGAAGCTTGGCAAAAGGGAGAAAGAAAATTTTAGTACAATTCAGTACAGCGACAAAGAACAGATCCTATCTGTTATTCTACGTAAAATATTTCAAACGCTATAAGAATGTCCAAACGAACCGTTTTCCGAATCATTGAATTGAATAAAACTACGTGAAATCACGAGTATGAATAATAGGCCGCCGATGAAGCCGATCTGCAGATGCTGTGCGCAAAACTGAAGGAGAACGACATTCAGCACAAGCTGTGGATAGAACAGCCCGAGAACATCGCGACGTGTCTGGTAACGAAGCCCTACCCCAAGGACAAGATGCAGTCGTATTTTAAGAAGTACAAATTACTCAAAATGTAACGGATGTAAATGGTAATAAACACCACATTACGATAAGGACACCGAACGTCTCTCTAGTTACTTTCTACGTTACACCGAATCCAAATTAATCCTCCCGGCATTGCTTCTGAAAGATTCTAGCCGAAGAAAGGTTTCCGAAAAATGTTTACTTCAAAACACCGAATGTGATAACTGAAAGATCCAACCCTGAGAGGTTCTATAAACGAAATACAATTCTCCGGCGCTCACGTGAAATAAATACTAACTTCGGAGAAGAATGTCATTTATCTTTTACTCTATTCGAGCGGGAAGAAGATCAATGCGCCGGAGATAAGCCGCGCTCTACACACGTGGCTCGAACGTCGATATTGCAACGGGCAACACCTCGGCTCTATCTTTTTTATCTCCTTCGTTTCTCCCTTTTTTTATCCCCAGAAGCGATATTGTCCCGTATGGAAAATATTTACGCTTGGAGGACTACAAACGTTCGAAGAGATAGGAAAAAAAAAGAGAACACACATAGTTGTGCGAGACGCCGCGGCGATCCGATATTTCTGACATCGAGGAGATTTACACTCACTCATTTATTCCACGGGTACCTTGCGAGTATTGACAATGCGTGTGTACAGCCCCTTCTCTTTCCTTACATTACACACGATACTAGCGTTAGATTACGATTCTAATCTAGACGGGAGTAACGCAGGATCGCGCGCCACTAATCAACTAGTCGTATCAAAAAGCTCCTCGTCGCGCGAGTCTACGGTTGCTCTACGGTAAAAGTGCGGCGAAGCTAGTCTCTTCACAGGTACGGATCGGCGTATGATGTAAGAATACGAGATGTTTCGTTCCCGAGATGCGCAGTCTATCTATATCAATCCAATCAGAAAATTAGCCCAAAATGTTATAAGCCAATATAGAGCTTATTAGAAATTTACCACCAAAAATTTCGCCATTATGCGCAATGAAATCTTGTATTCTTACACATGGATCGGCGTACGTCTCTCCCACAGGATTAGTTGAAAGACAACCTGAATCGCACGTCATGAAGTGCAATTTTTTAATCCTCGACTACAGTAACGAGTCATTTGAACCCGAAGCGACAATTTCAGATGGTTAATATAATCTGTACAATTAGTATTGAGATTCTGAATTAGGTAAAAAATTTTGAATCTTTTTCTATGGCCATGAGGCGGAGGTTCACTATTCTGTACTTCAAATAGGACGCTTTAGAATTCAAGTGTAATTTTTCACATTAAAAAAATACTAATTTTAATAAATATTTGCTCGGATAGTTCTAAGTAAATATTTACTAAATGTAAACATATACTTACTTGATACAAAAATTTAATACATTAGTTTAATTTAACTATCATTTTTTATTGGGTAAATATTTATTTACTGTAAGTAAAGGTTTACTTAGTACTAGTCAAAGAAATATGTATTAAGATTTAGTAAATTTTTTTTTCAGTGTAGCTGTACTTAAAGGAACTTACAAAGATATTTGTATAAATACGATCTCGGACTTCAGGCGAGAGTTTTCAAGCGAAATGCAAAAAAAGGGAAGATTCGAAGTGCGTTTCAGGCCGCGGCTAAGAGCTAATCCATCGGTGCGTTGCGACTTTTCCCACTCCTCGCTCGTATCTCGCCGTCGTAGCTGCGTTCAAATTCGCGGAGAATGTGTCTTCGTCGCCGCAAGATTCACACGGAGAGCGTTCGAATTGCACGATAGGCGAACGCGCATCTTCTTCCCTATCCCGTACCATCACGCTTATCCGCAAGATGCGTCCTTCGCGCACTTCACTGCGATTCTTCCTGGATTATTCCTCGTCCGTTTGCTTCAAAATGTTTCCGTCAATCCTGTCGCGACGTTCCTCCACGCGAAGATCATCGTGAATTCACCCGGAAGACTTCTCGCCGTCCTTCCTCGCATACGGAACCGGAGGTATCGATCGCGGATCCATCACCGTATACCTTTGTATGTGTGCATATATTATGTGTGACGTTTACGGGCAAACCGTATCAGCCGGCGATACGACTATCGTCGTCGTCGCGATACGACCGTAGATTCGCAGTAAGCTCTAATTACTTATGTACACGCACTGCGGACGCTAGACACTGTAAGTACACATATTTACAACACTCTCGATGGCAAGATGATTATTTTGGCGTATATATAATATGTATATATATATATATTTTTTTTTTCTTTCATAACGCGGTCGTAACGAGACGGAGGCGGGAACGGGAGGATATACAGAAGTCCTTATGAAAAAAATGCGCTATTGTCCTTGCAACATCACTGCCGCTCGTTCTCTTTCTCCTCCCCATCCTCCTCCTCTTCCTCCTCTAGCCATTGGCGCAGGATGTTGCTCCTTGGCTGCAAAACAAAAGGGGAAGGTGTCACCGACCATTTATCTTTAAGTGGAATTGATTGTTCTCCGCATAAGCAAGCTCGAGATCGTTTATTCCCAATGGAATCGTCTCGACGCGTCCATTGGGTACAAGACAAAAGCTGCACTAGATTTCTAGAATCTTTTCGAGATTGTCAGCTTAATTTTGGGATGTACAGATCGGTGGATGAGAGAAACAAGTGCACATGTGAGTAAATGATTATACGTGCAGATAGAAAGAAATAAATTAAAAAAAGACATTTATCTTGGATATTGGGTGCTTAACTTTTATTGTTAATTACACACGATTGGGTCATTCCTATCGCATTTCTTTTCTTCGAAATACTAATATCAAGTTACTAGTTACAACATTTATACACAACTTTTTAAAATATACAAATACAAATACTTTCTAAAGATGTTAAAATATATCACTTAATATATGTATATATATAATTTTTGTATATTTGCAAAAGTGGTGAAAATAATCCCGGAACCTACAAACGAATGTTTGTAATAAAGGACCAGGAAATCATCATTGTGTGTATTAAGAATTATTGTGTATTATGTATTCTCATTTAATCTTTTTTTTATGTCTAGTAGAAATCTTTTTTTAAATTTTCCTCATTGCATTAATGAGTTGGAAAGAAGAAAGACAAATTTGCGTATAATTGTATATGCGTTTCTAATAATTAATAAAAATGAAAGATTCGTCTAATTCTGAACAAGAACGTAAGCGCTCGTGAACACATTAATGGATTAGAAAATGTGCAAACAGTTCACATATAAAAGGGATAGACCTACAAGAGATTCTGACAATTCTACTCGCATGGCAGATTCCGTTAGGCTTCGAACACACATAAAGCAGCGTTTTGTCTTCGATATTGCAACCAATAGATATCGCATTAGGAAGCAGCAAGTACAAATAGGATCTCATTGCGAAACCAAGCTGTCGACGAACATCGCATTGCGTTAGTACTATTATGGGATTCGCAATTACCAGGATCACGTTAGTTTGGGAGAACGGGGTGAGACGAGTGATGAGGGTGGCAGTGGTGGTGATGGTGGTTGTGGTGGTAGTGATGATGGTGTCGGTATTGGTGGTAGTTGTCGGTAGTTATTAGGGCAGCGCACAAAAACGAGCATTATTGCTCGGCTAGGTTCCCGTTCGGGTCCGTATAGTCGTCGTACTCGTCCTCCGGCTCCTCGTAATCCGTCTCCGCGGGCTCAGGACCCTCGATCGCCGGCACGGACGTGCTCGTGATGTCCTGCTAAGCACACACCAGAATCCAAGCGTACCCCGGCACTACTTCTCTCTATCCCTTTTATCCCGCGTTTGGTATTAGTAGACTATTAGCGCTGTTGTTATAATACCCCCGTAATAACTAGCAAAGAACGCGATCTGTTTTTGCTTGGACAATTCGCTTTTGCCGAACGATACTCGCAGAAGCTTTATCAGTGGATTAACACTAGATATCGCCGACGGCATCCTGCTATCGAAAGTGTCAATTTGGTAATTTTATATCCTTGTTTTCGGTTAATGAAGATTTATTTTCATGTTATTTGTATCGTTAGAATTATTTGTATTATATTCATATATTTTTTTAAATATTCTATACCTACTGTACATTTAATACAAAAAAGAAAAAAATTAATGAAGTCCAAATGGAATCATCGGCGATTCTAGTGTTAGCCCTCCGTGGTTCAACGTTTTTTTTCACTAGTTTAACCGGGTCACTGCTGCCTGATTGTATTTTCCAAAGGGTTTTTGAGTTATAAAAAATTCTGGAAAAATTCTGGTGCACTCTTTCAACATTCGAGAAAATGATTTTACAACGATATGACCTGAAACGTTTTGTTTTTGTACGTGCTCGAATTTGAGGCAGAATAATTTAAAATTGAAAATTCGCCTGGGTCTTCAAAGCCCCAGTTGGACCACGGAGGGTTATTTCGAAATCCGCGGGAGACTCATGGAGCATTATCATTTTATCTCTATTGCACTGAAATTAGCGTCCAATGGAACACCTGCGCGTTTCTCTTATTTTGCGAAAGCGACTGTTAGAATTTCAATGAAAAACTGCATAATATATAGTTACGATTGATAAATCACGATCTGAAATATTCCCAAGGATTTCGTAATATCTATACATTTTTGTCTTAACGCACTTTTTGTTAATTTATCTCGCTACGAATTGAGATTATATACGACGCAACTTTTATTCCCTTCTGCCCACAAACTCTGCCGAAACAAAATAAAGCTATCGATTACCTGCGGTGGTCTCCAGCCGCAGCCCGGTAAAGGGAGTCCATCCGGTCCCAACGGACACGGGGCATCCAATCCTGGAACACCTTGATCTCCCTTGTTGCCCTTGTCGCCTTTTCTGCCGCGTTTACCTGGCGGCCCCTGCGCGCACACGCGAAATGCATCATCTTTCTGACAGCGCGAAACACCCGATGCAAGTACGCGACGTGCAAATAAGGCCAGGCATAATATTGTTGGATTATGCATTATAGTACTTGATCGATCCGGTGCACAATACCCCGACGAGTACAAAGAGCGAAGGTGAGCCTGTCGCGGGTCGCAGTTTAATTATAACGGATTTTAATTGATAATTACTGCGAAAGGTCTCTTTCGTTTCTCAATCGATCGTGCCCTTTTGACTGTAATTCACTGTAATTATCGGATCGCCGAGGCACGATCTTTTCTGTCATCAAAGCTGAGACATGATTAGAGAAAAAAAAAAGAGAAGGCGACGGCGACAGTGCTCCCGTTGGCGCTTCGTTCCTCGAGCGTTTAATGTTAGCGTCTCTTCTAACATTATTCGCGCCTCGTCATTATGCGCTTTCACGGAACGGTGGTAGCAGCATATATATATGTATATATATATATATATTTACAAATATCTATGTACGCGCAAAGTGTGTTAGTCTCATGTAGAACTTGGTAGGAATGGTGGGCGTGTGTTGAGGAGATTCTCCTCGTGTTCCTACAACTAGAGCTTCCTCCGCTTCCTACACTCGTGACCTTGTGGCTCCGCGGGGATCCCGCAGTCTCCTCGTCGTGAACGACGACGACGACGATGACGACGACGTCGATGGCGGCACGGAGAAGTCCCACCGACGTGCTTGCAGCAATAGTTGTGAATAAAAGATACGTACGAGGATGCGAAAGGACGAATCGCGCGGCGACGCGAGTGCGTGACAATTTGTTTTTTTAACAGCCACGAAACTCGTGTGAAATACGCACAATCGATCTCCTCCCAATTCAAAGCATCCGATGGTGTTCGAAATAAAGTTAAATCAAGAGAGCCAACGACGATAATTAATTTCGCCTCCACTGGTCGGTCCGGTATCTCGAACTCGGTGGCTTTGGTAAAGGTAAAGGTAAACTAATCGACTAATGCAGGGATCCTCCATGTACGAGACTATTCAATAACTCAGCAAGATGCATGCGTATGATTGTACGTCCATTATGAGGCGAGCTGCATCCGAATACAGCACTTTGGTCCGTCGGTTATCGCTCGGTAAATAATCTTCGTAAAGCGTACAAGCTATCTAATCAAGCGCGATCGTTTTCGATACCTTGTGGTGTGTGTGTGTGTGTGTGTGAGTGAGAGAGAGAGAGAGAGAGAGAGAAAGAAAGAGAGGAGAAACAGAGAGAAAGAGAGTGACGGTATAACTTCGAGTGGATCGCGTTCAATCGCGCGGCGGAGCACGCGCGTCGAAAACGTGAATTACTCGAATTAAGTCAATACTCACAGATTCGCCTTTGGCACCTTTCTCTCCCTTCGGTCCCTGGAATTGGTGAACACGGTCAAAAGGAATTTATTCGGTAAACGTTGGCCGTCGTTTTGCGCGCGCGAGACGCACGGTCGTTCCAGAAAGAAAAGCGAGTTTCCAAGCTCGAAAGGGGGCTCGAGGAAAGGTGCCGCGTGTGACCGCGATGTCGTATATGTTATATCGATCACCGGCAGCTTTTCCGTTACCATCAACCGTCACCTATCGGGTCGTAAGGGGCGGAAAGGGTGGCATATCGATTCGCAGCCGGAACCACGGGCACGGCATTTCGAGTGGATCACTTGGTTATTGCTCTTCCCTCCGACGAGAGACGTCAATAAACCGAGAATATCCGATGTCAATAAAAGCAGCACCGATACGAGAGAGAGAGAAAGAGAGAGAGAGAGAGAGAGAGAGAGAGAGAGAGAGAGAGAGATGCACAGAACGCAGAGTTCCCCGTTTTAGATTCAGTTTTAACTTTCCGAACAATTAGAATTTTTTAGCTGCAGATTCACGTGCAATTATTTATACAATATATATTATTTGTAGAATTGTAAATTTTTGAAAGAAATTAAGACTTCAGCAAGATTAATATGTTTCTAATTCTCTTTCCCCGCGATATATTAATGGTATATACTTTTATGCTTGTTTCCACCAATATAGATTAACTTCAATATCGATTCAACTCATCTTTTTCTAATTCTTAGAACTAGAAGAAAATAAAAAATAAATTGAACTGAGATTGAAATTAATCTACACAGAAAAAAAACTATTCTTAAATCGACAATAACATGTTCATAACCAAAAATATTATAATTTAGTTTCAAAGATCTTAGTCTTGATTTGATTAAATTTGTGTTGAGTGCAAGTATTATTTGCAAATTCAATCAAATCAATTCTAAAATCTTTAAAATAGGATTAAAATATTTTTGCTTATATATATGTGAGAATATTATTGTCGAGGATTAATTTTTTTTCTGAACATAGATGGAAAGTGGCATTAAGGTACACTTCATAAATATGCACGTCGCGATGAGTTACAAGGGTGTTTTTAATTTAGCCGCATCTTCCTTCTTCTAACAAATGCTATTTTTTTATTTGGATTCGCACGTGGAACTTTAGATTTTTATGACTTTTCATAAGTAATCATAATTAAATACAAATAATTTTTCTTTTACGGCGACAACCTTCCCTCGTAAAAAGCTAGATTTACTTTGAATTGTGATTAATTTAGATCCGCGGTTCTAGTTTTAAATAAAAAGGAAACATTTGCGCGCTGGGAGATATAGCTATCTATGTTCAAAGGTGAAAGAGATTATCCTCCTTCAAGTACCTTCCTGTGCATTCGAGGGTACATACAAGAGAGTCGTTCCGTTTATACGCTCTCGCATTGGTGCGCATCGAGCGGTCACACGAGCACTGCTCGAGCATCCTTCCGGACACTCCAGAGAGAAGCACGAGGGAGTTGCGCGTTTCCCCCTCCATTATAATTCGGCCGTAAATTTTGATCGGGTACGACCCTTTCTAACTTGGTCATATGCCGACGAGGTGGTACACGGGACGACCTAGTTCTTATCTGGTTCTTAAATCTAATTCAACAGCTATTCGTGCAAATAATATCAGGCGTTGAATAAACCTGATCTTCTTTGCACAAACATAAAGCATTATGCGAAAATATTAAACGATACACGAAATCGATCGCGTCGGAATTATGCCAAGTAAACGACTGCAAAACAACTTCTACATATATCAATTATACTTAAATTGACAAAATTATCTGTGCAAATCATGCTTTGCATGACTTTTGATATACAACTGAATGTAATGTGTCAAAAGAAAAAAGAAAGAAATTTGTGAGACTAGATTCCGAACGAAAGAGGGAGAAAGGCGCAAGACGCTGCTCCGTTCTCTTCGAAATCGGACGGAGGAGGCAAAAAGAGAGGGCTCTTTTTGATTTTTCATTTTTTTTCTTTTTCTTTTTCTTTTTTTTTTGTTCAAGACAGTCCCCGGGGTAGATCAGGCGGAATGTGTCGTCGTTACCCCGGGCTGGTCAGACCGTGTCAGACTGTGTCGCAGTCGCGCCGGAGGACGAGCGATAATCGAAAGCCAACTGTACCTCCGCGCCGGGAATCCCGTCGGTACCCTGGGGACAAACACAGATCGACTCGTTAGCGTGTCTCTCCGTGACGACGGCGAGATGTAATCGAGTCAGCGAGTTGACTTGACGCCGTTCCTCGGACATGACTCGATCTCGGTACGTGACTGCGCGGCGATCACGGGACTTGAGAGATCGCGAGCGACATAAAACAGAGATATTGAGAAGGATCGATCGGAATCACAATTGACGTTTGATCGAGTTCGCGAAAGAGTATCCGCGAGTCTCTCCTTTCCGTTGGGCGCCGCGGGAGACTTTGTTCCAATCGAGAGTTTATTTGAAGCATTATTTGTCAAAGAATTCGATTGCCGTAGAGATCAACTTTAAATGTATAAAGAGAGAAATCTATCCCGGTAAAATATTTATCGAGAGCGCCTCGAACGATCCGACCGCGAAACCAGAGAAAATTATTGTTTGATGAAGGGCAAGATTGCCTCGAGATAATACACTCGGTAAATCTTGAGATACATAGCCGAGAGATCTCGATAAACACGAGCAAAGCGGGCGATATCGCGCGTTAGATGGATCAGATTCGAACGGCGGATAAATACTTGATAAAGCGTAAGACTTACAGGCAATCCCGGATCTCCTCTTTCTCCCTTCGTTCCTGGCTCGCCCTGCGCACCCTGAAAATACGAAGAAACATGACGAGCGATTTTGATAATTCGAGGCTCGCTCTCGTCGTTAAAGGAAAGCCAATGAGGATGAAATCGTGCTCGCGTTTTCTCGATCTAATAATTTCGGCCGATTGATTGATATATTTCGGTTCGCGAGACGAGACGAGAGACGAGACACCGAGAACGGAAATAGAGCGTGTCCGAGAACGAGAAAGGTAATGATATAGTGAAAACGGGGTCATCCCGTGGATCGCTCACCTTCATGCCGTCTAATCCTGGTGATCCCTGAAAGGTAGAGGAAACCTCGTCAGATACACGACGTAGCCCATCGATAATATCGAGCGTGTAATATTGTCGACAGCGACTTAAAAACTATGTCGCAGAGGGGAACTTTTATTATTAGAGATCGCCCTTTTGACACCGTCGCTGCGCCCTCGAGTGTTTCAGGCAGGGATGTTCGAATCTCCAAAAGATCGATTTTCTCAAACGGCAACAGCGATTTTAAATCGATCTATTTTGCGAAAAATTGACTCTTTCAACTAAAAGGAACTATTTAAAACCGATCTCTTTGTAAAGAATCGCTTCTTTTTTTTTCTTTTTAACAAAGAGGGCTATTTCGAAGCGATATTTTTGCAAAAAATCGCTTTTCAGCGAATCGATCTGGAGATCGCACATCCCTAGTTTCAGGATCGGTTCTAGGTTTAATTCCCGTTGCGCCGATCTATTCGCGTGAAAATTCCATCGGCTCGGCGAGAAAGAATATTTGCACAGCGCTGCTGTTTCGCTATATAAATATATATAGCTGCAACTCTCGATCGCGTTACGCCTGTCCCCCGCAGCTTCCCTGCGCCCGCGAGGAAGTTTCGAAACTCTCGTTCGGATTTTCAAATTAAGTTATAGTTGCGCTATATCGCGCTTGATGTGTCGGTACAGATATTGGCCGGGGATATTCGATCGGTTTTCGTTGTAACGAAATTGCGTTTCTATCGGATTCTGTACTCGCGCTCTTGTTACATCGAATATCCCCATACTTGGTAAATATTTGAGGTGTAACTGCGAATTTTTTATCACGTATAATTTCGTGATGGAGAACGATTCCGAGCTATTTCTTAAGTACGATGTGCAAACATTTCTTCCGCGAGTAAAACTCTCACTCGGCGTGTAATGAATTAGATTCCGTTTAGTCTCCGTTCTTCGAACGTTTCAACTACGAAACTCATCTTCGGTCCATCATCGCAAGATAATCTTCACCCCCGTTTACATATTATCAAAATTAATCCCGACACCGAGAGAGAGGGGGAGAAAAAGAGAGAGATAGAGAGAGAGGGACAGACTGACAATCGAGGGCGGTCGGCGTCGTGGAAGGTAAAGCGGGAGCTTGAGCAAAGTTGAAAGAAAAAAAAAACGAGCGTACTTCGCACCGAAGCGTCGACGCTTCGTCGCATCTTTGTGCTTATCCTCTTTTTTTTTTCTTCTTTTCGATCTTATTTCTAAGGTAGCAAGATTAATCGCCGGTCTGAATGATCCGCCGATTAACGCCACCGTCGTGGTCGCAGCAAATTAACACGTGTTAATTTTTGGTTGTTCCTTTTCTCCTTGTCTTTAATCGTTTTCCATTGCAACTTGCAACAACTTGCAAATACATAGAGAGAACGGAAGAACGAAAGTGAGCAGAGAATCTCGTTATCCGGATTGGCCCGGATCGCAAAACATTTCGGAGCACAATGCAAAGAAGCAAAGATATCTGATTATGTTACTGGATTATCGTGTGTGAAAGCATTAATTTGGTAGGCAGTTTTAGAAGCAAAGGACACAGGCACATGCACATTCTGTTTATTAATCGGGACAATGTAAAACAAAACTGCTGTTAGAGTCAGTATTCACATACGCATTCAATTAGGTCGCCTTAAGTTGATCGGCTTAAGAGGAACGCCGCCTTAACAATTAACGCACGCACACACACGCCTGGGGATTCGTGTGTACATATACTTATATATACGTATATATACATATATATATGTATATATATATGCACACAGAGTGTCTCCTGTGTCTACTGAAACATTCCTCCAATTATGGGTTCTTCCGCGCGCAGTCGACTTTCGCTCAGGCGAAAAGATCAAATATTTGACAAGTAAAGTTGAAATTTTCGTTAAGGCAAAACTCGTTTTAAATTAGCTGAAAAATTAGCTGCTCTCGCATCTCGGAGTACAGTTTTATAATTCGAGGAAAATCCTTTAATCTCGGACGTCGGGAATTATCCTAATTAGATTAAGTCAAAATTTTCGTTACGAGGAAGAGGGTTCGATTTTCGGGTTCGTCAACGAATCCGTATAGCAAGAGGCCTTCGACACGACGTTGACAGCCTGTGTGTGTGTGTGTGTGTGTGTGTGTATATACCTGCACACGACACGCAGTTACGTGTGTATATGCACCTTTTACTTGTACTTACATTTACAGACATACACATACAAATGAGTATACAGCGCGTTCTCGAGTTTCATCGACGAACTTTCGTGATTCATCCAGCGCACTAAAACGGAACTTTTTAATGGGTACTCTCACTCGCGAGTACCCCGTTACTGAAATTTCGGCGAGAATGGGACTGTATATCGAATCGACTTAAAACAAACGTAGATATCCTCGTCATACAGAATCGATAATTACAAACGTTTCTATATCGATTTACACTCCAGCTTCCTCACCGTTGATAACGAGATACTCACGCAGGCAAGAGTACCTAATGAAACTGAAAAACTCCGTTTTGGCATCCCGAAGAAATCATGCATTCGTCAATAGGATTGAGAATCGCTGTATATTTATATACATCTTTCGACTTGCGCATCTCGACGCGACTGCGTTTCTCGTTTCACGCATACGTTCCTTCGTGTATATGCACGTGTGTCGCGCGTGTATGTGTGAGCGTTTGTATACATATATGACGTGTTCGTGCTCGTGTATTAAATATGTATATGTGGGCGTCATAAACTTTACACGCACAGGAGAATTGCCGCCGGATAGGGATCGTCGGCGTGGAGTCCGGCGGAGCTTCGTTTCGCTCTCTCGCGCAGTCTCTCTCGTCCAGTTTATCCTCTTAAGACTAAATCTGCGTTAATTTATCGGGGTGTACACAGGGTGTGTGTTAGAAGTAGTCCGCTCATATAGTCCGTGATATACGGTACATTGATTGTGACGGCGCGCCGAGAGCACCGTATATTCTACACTGTACATTCTCGCGATTCTTCTTGCCCTTTGTATTTTTAGACGTCGAGGATGGTGTGCGATCGATTAACGCGGAAGTTGATTTAAACGACTCGAAGTGCTGCGGCTTGATATATAACAGTATTTTTCGACACGAATTGAATACAATTAATTGTTATCAATTCTTGTGTAAAAATTAATTTCTGTGAAAAAATTGTTATTAATTCCAGCGGACGAGACGATTCTTGCAATCTATTGTATTTCTAGGATTTTAAAATTGAAGGGACAATTTTGAGTAAATCAATTTCCGTGCGATCAGAGCCGCACACCAATCGCAGATCTTTCACAGGAAGTAGTACTTTCGACTTTCCTATATATCGAGATCGTCTTTAAAGATGCTTGAATAGAGCATCTCGTTGTACTTCGAATAAGATCCTTCTTAGGCCGAGTGATCATCTACCGGTAATTACATCTTGCGTGTAAATCGTGCGATATTCCCGAGCTGACGCGAGAATCGTAACTCACGATATCGAAACCCTTCCACATTTCTGTCAGCATTCGCAAAACACTTTTGTAAAAGAACAAAGATCGGTTAACTCCGAATTTGTCGACCACGTCGCCGAGAAACGCTTGTCGAAATTATTGACTATCGTAAACGTTAAATCGCGTCCACCAAGCGTTTATGTAGTTGACGTTTAGTTTATATCGTCAAAGAGCATATCGTATCGACTTTATTATTGATGAAAACGTCACGCACTTGTGTTTCTCAGCTACGTTAGAGTTCCGCAGGAAAATATCGCGAACTATCGATAGCACGTTAGTGCACCCGACGGGATAGAGCGGAAAAGCCGAAAGAGCAGGCAGAGAGAGAGGGAGAGAGAGGTACGAGGTGTACTTCCTACTTGTTATTCGTGGCGACCGGTCTCGGAAACGGTTTTACTACTGTTCGGCGAACATGAAATTTTCCCGCGACCGATGCTCACGCGCGATATCACCGACGTTTCCCACGACTCTCGTAAAAGGTGCTTGCCGAATGTAAAGGGAGCCGGAATACACCGACACTTGCCCATCGGTTCTCCCTCTTCCGCTCTGCCACGCCTCGACTGCTGCTTCTTTATGCAAGCTTTGTGCAAGCGATGATTTAAAACGCATCCAGCTGTATTCTGCGCGAGAAGCCGCTTTTAGCGAATTTAATTGTCAATCAACACGTTTTTATCAACGTTCGCGTTCTGATCGAGCAGTGTTGGAAGATGAGAGACGTTATCGATGTTCCTGATGAAGCCATCCTGACGCCAGTAACGAGTAATCAGGAAAATGTTCAACGCGATACCTATACCTCGATATGAATCTTGTTTTTATATTTGTGCTTTAACTTCTACCGCAAGAGAAAGGATCACATCCGATTTCTCGCTTTTGACGTCACAATTTAGTACAATAGCGATGTGATCGGGAGTCTTAATTTTTATCCCCTTCTGCTATTTTCCTCCTTTTTTCCCCTTCATCAATATATCTTACAGAATTTCCCTTCCCTTGTAACCGTGCGGAATTCTTGATGATTCGTGAAATGCGACTGGAATGCTACGAAGAAATGTAGAACGAAGAGGAATCATGATAAATGGCTGGGTTATTATTAGGTGCCGGCAATGCTGCGAGAGCGAGCTTTCGTTAAGTACAAGCCGACTGAATTATTCTCAAGAGAGGCACAACGGAAAAGTAGATTTTACCAGACAAGGGACAGACTGAAAATTGTTTCTCAAGACTCGTCAAATTAGTTTGGACGAAAATTAAACTTCTACTTTTCGACACTTCTAGATCGGTAAAACTGCGCCTTCATCTAATTTTGTTCTTTCTTCTAACTTATCACACGTTTGTAAAAAATAGTTTATTTTAAATAAAAATTGAGCTCTAAATAAAAAGCACGCTCCTCAAGTTCTATGCGAAACGTACTACGCAAATTTATGCGATTCGAGAGGATAAAATATCGCGAAATTATCAAGTATACGAATATATTTCGTACATATAATGCGATGAAATAATGTCGTATACTTCACTCCGTTATGCTGCAATAGTGCGATAACTAAAGCACCGTTTTCGCATTTAATTCGATAAGATCGAGAAGTTCTTACATGCTTACACTAATGACTCGTTCGGAGAAACGGCGTCCGTACGCTTCTTTTCGTATACGCTGATGACACAAAATTTAGCGGGACGGCGAAGTTCGGATCTTTTTTAGATCCACCAAACTCTTGAGTACTCGTGTCTGCGATCGAGAATCTGTTCTCGACGGTCGGCGCGAGCGGCTTGCTTATCAAGCCGACACGTAGAGTAAGTTAAGAGGACGGATGGTAGCGATGCGTTAACGCGTGAACCGAGAGCGAGCAGCTTACTTTGAAAGTGGCATGAACCAAATCTCATGGATTTCGTTAAAGCGAACACGTGATATCGCGGTCTCTTTGCCCGCGAATTAATTAATTCATTAACGTTATTTCACCGAATCTGGTTTAAACTCTTTGCAGAATAAGCGGCTCCGCGGTATACACGACATCGAACATACAGGGATGATCTCGAGAAGAATATATTTTAGCAACGAATTTTTTGACGAATCGGAATTTCTTTCTCAACCAATAATTTCAGGCAATTTAATTAGAGAATACGTCTTTAGAAAATATGCCTTTAAAAATTCGTCAAAGAATCCGTCTTCTAAAATAATTTTAGGTAATAACCGGACATATACAGCTTCATTCCGATATCGCCGATTGGCGTAATTTTCACTTCGTGTGGCCAACTCTTTGACGAGTTTTGATACCCTGGAAGACGTCCCTTCCGCGTTCTTGTAGTCGCCAACATTAGACATCGAATCGCTCGACGAATCTATTCCACGCCTGTAAACGCTGTGAAAAATTACGATCGCAAGCTATATACACTGAAAAAATACTAAATTTAACAAATATTCGTTTGAATAGTCCTAAGTAAATATTTACTAAATGTAAACATATATTTATTTGATACAAAAATCATCGATTTAACTATTATTTTGTTTATTGAGTAAATATTGATTTATTGTAAATAAATATTTACTTAGCACTATTCAAATAAATATGTATCAAGATTTAGTAAATTTTTTCCAGTGTACGGAACTTGTATCCGGCTTTTGGGTTTCGTTTCTCGAGCGAAGTCGGACGCAAAGGAACACCGTCGGCGTAGAAAACTTTTCAACGCCGAGGCGCGCGAATTCTTTCGAGACAGACGCGTGCCTGTGAAATTCTATCGGTAATGCACTTCCCGATGTCGAAAGGAAAAATGCGCGACCTCGGCGTTCCGCCGTATCAAAGTGGATCGAGTCTTCTCAATTCCGAAGAAGGCTGAACATTGAACTTCGCGTTAAGACACCTCGAACGTAGAATCTGTAGTCGCAGCGACCTCGCTGGCAGACCGACCGACGGCGCTCGAGATCCATCTCGACGGAAATTCAGCCGAGTTGGAGAGTCCTAAACGCCTCGCGATTGCAATTCTATCGATCTAACGCGTTAACGGCAGTCGTCGTCGGCAGGAAGCGACTGTCTTCGCGCGCGCCAAGTATTTACCAGGCGTCCGCTCGCCTCCTCTCGAATCGCCACTCTCGACGTGACGACAGTCGCGCTTCGTCGACGCTCCCTCTTACCCTAAAGCCCCTTTGTATGTATCGTATGTACACGCAGAAGTAAAGCGTACTCGAGAGGCGATCGAGAGGCCACGCTTCGCCAGGCTGCGTCGCGCGATAATGTCAACGCACTTATCGGCTTATCAGCGAATTCCGCGGCGGCGACGCCAAGTTACGATGACGTTAGGAGCGGGAGGTCCGCGTTCTTACCATGGCACCAGGTTTCCCGGAATCCCCGGGCTTTCCGGACTCTCCCCTCAGTCCCATGGGGCCCTGAAAGTAGATAGACAGAATGCCCATCAGCATGTCTCGCCGCCGCATTCGACGCGGTATGGCGACCCCGCGCACGGCGGGTCTCGCAGGTGGTGGATCAAGCGCGCGACTTTTCCGTCGCTCGGAGGAGGATATGCAGGTTCTAACTTGTATTCGGTCTTTTTGTCATGCAGAGAGATTTCGTATACCTTCGTAACATTGTGCGCACGCCTCCTCCCGTCTTTCTTTCTCGTGTACCTACTTCGTTCTGGCGATAAAGTCCAATTCGTTAATTAAGCCACGTGCCACAATATCCTACAACTCTTTCAGTCCCAAAATTTTTTTTCACTGACAAAGAATGGAGAAAGAAATCTTGTGTATCACATATTTGAATGTATTGATAAAAAAATAAACAACGTTATTTTTGTTTTTAGACGGAAAATATATCGAAAAATTGCAGTAAACTCACAAAATGAACTGAAAGAGATACTAACGCTATAACAACGCAACGTTCGGAATTTTCAGAACGCGATTTTTTTTTTGCAGAAAAAGCGAAGGACACAGGACAGTTTTTTTTTTTTTTTTTTCCGAGAACGTTCGAGGGGGAGGGTCCCGTCTGCGTTCTATCTGCCTTTGTGCGTCCTGTATCCGCGTTTCCTTTTTAGAGCGCGCTTAAGGCTACACGTGTGTGCGTGTGTTTCGAGTGCATGCTGTGTGTAATCTGGAGAGAAAATACGTACGGGTAGTCCCATCGGACCAGGATCCCCTTTGGCACCCTTTTCTCCCTGCAACGTGAAAAAAGAAAGAGCGACGCGTGAGAACGGGCTTGTCCGCATTGCAATCGTGTCGCGCACGCAAAAAGGTGATCTCAAAGATCACCGGCGTGAATAGCTTCACGCCTCGGGAGTCACATCGCAAACGCGATCTTTCTCGCATACGAAGGGTTCTCAACTACCCTTCGCAGCTTCTTTTCTCCCATTATTTTGCGATCAGAACGAATATATCTTTCTCGACTGTAATTTACTTTTCATATCGTCACGATATAAAATAGAGAAAGTTAAAATGTCCAAAACAGAATGAATTTTTTTTTTTAATTTTGTTAGTTAGCGCGTTGTAAATTTTTTGTTCGCTGCAGCACGAACTAAACTAATAAACGTGAAAAAATAACGCCATTTATTATTGCGATCATAACCGGACTCGCTGTAGTTGTTATGTTTCCCAAATTCAGTGATAGTATGATGGAGATAAATAAAAATATAAAGTTTGATGTATAAAAGGTTTTTCACGATGGTTTTTGCGAACAAAACGGAGCGATGCAAACAGATCGATTCTGTTATTCGATGTCTGCAATCTCGAAGAGAGAAATCAACATTCGTTTTCCATCGCGCGAACGCGAATGCGTATAACTGCTTTCATATTCTATACACGCGGACAACAGATAGATAATGGTTACTGACAGGATCGCCCTTGGCGCCATCGTGTCCTCTGTCACCCTTGATTCCAGGTGGGCCCTGCAGTCCGGGGGTACCAGCGGGTCCTGGGGGTCCCGGCGGGCCCATTATCTGTGCATCGACAATGTCACGAATTAGAAACTATCGACACTTAAATCAGAGGTACGCGATGTGATTTTTCGTGCTACATCACATGCGATTAAAGCTGGCGGCACACGATGTTTATTTTCTTGCTAGATTGCTAGATAGAATAAATTCTTGCCACCATATTGGCTACGATGCTATCGCAGTATCGCAGTCAATACGATGGCAAGATTCTAATCCAGCTAGGAATCCAGCAAGAAAATAAGCATCGTGTGCCGCAGGTTTTAATAGGCGCGTTAAGGAGAAAAAGCAGCTTTTTTTTTACAACTGCTGCAAAATTTGTTAATACGATTGGTCTTCTTGTCCTTAGTTCCTCACTGGATGTAAACCAATCATATTAAAGAATCTTCGAACTGCAGTTGTAAAGCCGTTTCTTCTGTTCAACGCAGCCTTTGTTAATTAATCACTAAAATTACACCACACAGAACTATGTTCAAACTCTCACCTGAGTGTTATCTAAAAATTATTTTACACTTGTGTACTTTTATTTACCGAATATTAAACAAGAATAAAATGATGTCTGGAAAGTACTTGGATGGGAATCTGAACACGCCCTAGAACGTAGAATTTCTAATTTATTAGATTGCGATCTAGCACGAAAAATCACATCGTGCTTTTTATCGATTAAGAAAAGGTTATTCCGTAAGTAATTAATTTTTTGGTTCTAAAGCTATGGAGATTTTGATCGATTATAGTTATAAAAAAGACATAATTATAATTTTAATCGATAATAATAATGAAAAAATAAATAATTATAAAAAGTAAATTATTGTTGCATTTTATTTTCCTAAAAATTCCGACGCGGATGAATGTATCATAAAATCGAGGAGAAAAACGGATTTTGTTCGACAATTTTTACAGCTTTGAGCGAATTGGTTTATAATCCCCATAAATCGTGCCGCAAAGGGTTACATAACTACATAAAACGCGGCCATAACGGAGCACAAAGTCGATGTCGCAATGGCGCGACCGAAAATTTAAAACCCGCTCGAACAGACAACACGGAAGCAAAGTAATATTGTCCGCCGTATTTTTATTTTTTTGTTTTTTTATAAACATTACCGTATATCGCGGTAACTACTGGACGCATTCGTGAGAGAACGACGCGTTTTCGTGAGTTAACTTACCACTTCCCCGGCGTTCATCTCGAACGTGCCGTCTCCCTGCGAACAAACGCGCATTCGTGTTCATACATGTTGTGTATTACTATCACGTTACACTATTCAATGTAACATTAACGATTTTTCCATCGTGCATCCTTCCCCGATCAAGGGCGATTCTTTTGTCGCGCGATCGAGAATGAAGGCAACGAAGATATCTCAGATACAAATTGTCACATACCTGTCTTCGCCTGAGCTTTTTGTACTTCTATGGATGGAAGGTCGATGTCCCGCCATGAAAAGAAATTTATTTTATCGTGAGATACTGCCTAATGCACACTGTCGAAATCGCAGTTCTGCGATCGCACCGAAACTGCGATCGATCGTGAAGCTATTGTGACAAAAATACGATGGCATTTATGCGGTAGATGCGGTAGTTTCGCGATCGAAATCACGGCAGCTGCACTTATCAACGATCGTCCGTAAAAGATATAGATATTATTCTTCGATAATAGAATCTTGCTCAAATTTATTGGATCCTGAATAAAACTAATTTCTGCAAAATCATTCCGGTGAGATCATATTTCATACGTATTGTAATCATGATTCGATTTAATCAAAATATTAAAAAGGCAAAATAATAAATATGTAATTGAAAACATACATTATTACATAAATTTTATATATAATTCCTTATATACTTTTCTTATTATATAATTCCTATTATTTATATTTATATAATTTTTTTCTACATCATCATATCCATTTTTATTAATTTTATTTTATTATATAAATTCATTTTTATTATTTCTTTATCGAACAGAGATTAATTATTGATATCACATTAATTTTCAAAACAGCATCAACGCAAGTAACAATATTTAACAAACTCACCGATTCGCCTTTCTCTCCCTTTTCGCCTTTCAGCCCAGGATAGCCCTGTTGACAAGTAGAATCACATAAGACGGAATATTTATGATAAGAAGGGTTGTTGAAGCTATGTGACGTTTAAGTCCATTTAGGTACGTACCGGTGGACCGGGTAGACCCGGAGGTCCCATAAGGCCGGGGGGACCAATATCGCCGTAGTCGCCCTTTTCACCTTTAGGTCCGGATATTCCCTGAAATAAGGGACAGACAGACGCGATACATAAAATGTTACAGCTTTATTCTTTAATAATTTAAGTATGCTAGTAGCATGTCAATTCGATGATCAAAAATTAATTTGTGGACTTTATTATCTTAGTTAAATAATTATGTTGTAAGGCCGACAGTATGTGGCGCATAGTTTGACTGAAATAAATGTATTTAGGAATTTATATTAATTATTATTATCCCAACATCTAGCTTTAATCGTCTTTATATATTCTTTATATATTTATGTAATGTATTCATATATATTGGATATATTTTTATAGCTTTATTCTTCCTTAATTCTTCCTTTGTTTTACCTTCCATGTTTTACGTAATACCAAACTTGCACATTAATTAGATTTAACACATTAACATTCGTAACATTATATAGGTATAATTGATGAAAATTGCATTGATATAATGTTACAGGTATTATGTGTTAGTAACTCAGCGCGCAGTACGGAAGGGATATCTAATATTTTGTAAACATATTATGATATCTGTTACATTGCGGGATATATCCTTCTTGGACTATCGCACTCAATATTCTTTTAATGTCTATATTCTTTTAATGTCAATATTCTTTTAATGTCTTTGGACAACGCAAGAATTCGATAATATGTACTTAACTCATTCCTACTAATAACTCGAAAATCACATTTTTTATATCATTTTTGAAGTAAAGAAGCGATATATTGCTACTGAAAGAAACGTTAAATCTAATAAGGCATCGAAAAATACAGCAGAAAATATAGCGGACAATAAGTACATATAATATAATACTACGAATTTATTTTCTTACAACTCTCGGAAGGTTCTCTCTCGCATTTGCTCAACCTGATTCAACAATCATTGCAACGTAAAATACGCTGGCATTATGCAAAAGTCCGACGAGGCGAGGGATATTAAATTTTCGTCACCTTTGTAAAACACGGTGGCTATAACATCTCCCGAATATTACACCGTGAAGGGCGTGGAAGACGAGGAGATTTGGGGAAACCATTTCTCATTTGCGTCCCACTTACCGGTAATCCGGGGGGTCCTTGGATACCAGGATCGCCGTCGGTTCCATTGAGCCCCTGCAAGCCCTGCAGTCCCATCTCTCCCTTGGGCCCTGAAAGCGAATTTGCCGACCGTGAGCTGCTCGGTTGCTCGAGCTCGCCGAAGTTAGATTAATTCGCGCGCGTGAGCGCGATCGATGACGTTCCGCAATTCCGAAACGCGCGCGAGGCAAGAAACCTCCTGCCCACTTCGCCTTCCGTCGTTTTTCCGTTCTCGACTTCATTTTGCTCCGGGCAATTTCCCCGTGCCGGGAATACTTCCGGCGTGTTTATCGCATTTCGGTAGAACGACTCACCCGAGGGACATCCGCAAACACTTGACGTTTATTGTTGATCTAAATATCGGAGATCTCTGAATATATGTATACGGATCGCATTTAACCCGTAACTGGAACACATGGATTCTATATAGCAACCTTGCGGGATATTTTCCTAATTTTTAAATAGTGTAATGATTTGGAATAATTTTATGTTTTACGATCTTATTTTTCACAGAGTTGCTCTATTCATGTAGGTTTATAATTATCGTACTCTATTTATGCTAAATTCCAGTGCCTTTTTAAAGAAAATAAAAGTAGGGTAATTATTTTTTGTACTATATTTATGTTAAATTTCAGTTGTTTCAAATGTTTTAATTCTTAAAGAAAAAATAAAACCAATGACTAAATAAAACTAATAACAAAAATTATAAAAACTAATACAAACAAATTACAAATGTTTCAATTCTTGAAGAAAATAAAACTAATAACAAATAGTGGGTTCCAAGGAACGCATGTTCCTGTAATGTCATAAAAAATATGTGTTCCTGTTACGGGTTAATGATGAAAAATAAGGAATAATTTTTTAGATAAATCATAACAAAACACATACTTGATTTGTAATATAAACTGATTTTGAAGTGGCAGTAAATGAAATATTGTCACTACATTAATATCTTTTGCATTGTCTGCCGATACTTTGATTGACATCATGAAAAGCATTTATCAAAAGACTGTCACGTTAACAATCCCTCAATGTTTGCTGCTAAACGCGCAATAATATTCGCGACGTCGCACATAGCAATGATAAATATCGATCGTCCGATGATCCTTTTAGAAAACAAACGTTTAATTAAATATTCAATTCGATACGAAGCGGATTAGTATTTAATTTCCTATATCGAACGATCGGCGTTATTAACTTTTGATTGAAATTTTTCGCGGAAGGCGAAGCTGGCACGCATTACCGGAAGAGAATCGAGGGCACAGTCTTCGAATTCTTTTCCTTAGGGGCTAACGCGGGGTCGTTTTCAAGTTTCGTGAGGGAACTTTTCGAATTGCTCCACTATTACATATCTTCGAAAAGTTAAACAAGAAATCTGAACTGATCTCGCGCCCGTGTTCAGTGGACCCGCATCCGATATTCTCTGTATGTTTGCATAATCAAACAGAAAAGTAGGATTTTTTAACATCACGTTCATTTGGCATACATTTTGAAATTATTCGATATATATTTTGAAACTATGAGATATTATTCTTTTATACGATTATATATATGCAAAAATATTCGGAAGAAGGTGCGGTGCCATTGATGACACAGTAAACGAACCGTGTAACGAATATCTGTCTGCTTTTATTTTCCTAGAAAAAAATTCGATATACCGTGAATTTTAAAACTTCTCGTATTGAACGTAAACTATTAAAAAATCAACTAAAAACAAAAAAATGATAAAAAAAAAATAAAAAACTTAGCAATAAAATCTGATTGGTAAACATTAATCGTCGTCGATCGTCGATTATCTTCTGAAAGACGTGGCTATTATTGCTAACCATCGTTTTGAAAAAGATTACACGAGTTCCGTAATTTTCGGATTTTTTGTGCGAGTGCATGGGGATATAGAAGCGCGGTTAAAGGTATGTACGAAGGATCGCGGATTTTCGTGGGAGGATAACTCCACGAGGAATAAGAGGACGGACACGATCGCTTTTTTTCGGTGCTTTATCCTTCGTCTTTTCCCGCCGCGGTAGAATGGTTTCGTGATAATCTACCTGGTAAACCCGCGTCTCCCATGGCGCCCTTTTCGCCCCAGTAACCCCGTTCGCCGGGCTCACCCTTCGGACCCGGCAGGCCGGGGGCACCCCTCGCCAATGCCAAACCGCTCTCACCCTTGAAACCCTACAATGACACTGCAAGGTCAGATCCAACCAGGTCCTCCATGTGCGCTGTCAATTTCTTTTTCATTTTTGCTTCTGACGAAGCGTTAATCTGTCTTGTTTCAGAGAGGAGGGAGAGGAGGAGAGGATGGTATTTCGAGATCTACGTCAATTAATTTGATCGATCTTGGTACCTCACGCCTGTTCAATTTTCACAGTTTAATTTTAAGTGATAATCTGCATAATTGAATCTCTTTTTTACCTTAAGTGCCAAGATCGTAAGTGCACAGCTACTTTTGTACTACACAATGAAACATCCTTGAGGTCTAAACAAGTTTACTTGATGACGTAGACAACGACTACTAATACTCATGCGACTACGAAGGATTCGTTAGTTAGGGTTCAAATTTAGTAGAAAATTGAGGACTACTAATATATCTCTTTCTCTCTCGTGCTATGATAACATCTATGATTTATAGTCTCTTCTCATAATTACAACCTGTAGAGCCAGTCCTACTACTTAAAAGGATCCTTTCTTGTTCGCGAAACGCAAAAAGGTATCTCATAAATTTTGATTTAATACATATCGGCAATTCCACGTACATTTATGCAGCAATAAAAACCTTTCAATTTACATGCATCGTTAAAATGTAACGTGATATGATTTATACCGCAAAATATTAACAAATTAATATAACAAAAAAAGCATAAAGGAGTCCTTTAAATTCAGAAAATTAATATTTTTATTATATAATTTGTGAAAAGTGATTCATCGGGAACATAAGAAATGTCACGCGAGAGAGAAAGAGAGAAGGGCGGACGAGGGATAGGACCGACAGAAAAAGTATTAAATAAAAATAGATAAAAATATTAATATCGCGCGAAAAATGAGCATAGAGAGAGAGAAAGAGACACCATAGTCGCGGCAGTATAAGCTACAAACTTTGACAGGATCTTGAATACTTACGCGACAGCCTGCAGGCGCTTGCGATCGCCAGTCGATAGAGTTGCGAGAGCCTCAACACAACAACAAGCCGGGGGTAGTAGTGGTTATTAGTGATTAGTGAATCGAACCGATACACGCGGGAGAGTAGTGGGGTGGTGTTACTCGCTACATAAACACAAATTAGTTACACAAGCTACGTACACTACACGCCGAGGATCACTACTCACTAACTGTACATATACACACGCACACACGCACGCTATCAAAAGCGCTCGATATCGCCTCCGTCATCCTAAAAACAACAATGGCGAATGCCGTGGACATCTATATACACAGTCCACTCAAAAATACCTTAGAGATCTTTTAATGAATTTGGAAGTCCATTTTTCCTTAGCAAAAATATCGAAGACATTATGTATTAGTTTCTTTACATTCTGAAAAAAATTTATTAAATTTTAATATATACCTCTTTGAATAGTACTGTATAAACATTTACAGTAAATATTTACTCAATAAAAAAATGAGTTAAATTAAATTAATGGTTTTGTATCAAATAAATATATATTTACATTTAGTAAATATTTACTTGGAACTATTAAAAAAAATATTTATTAAAATTTAGTTTTTCTTCAGTGTATGTCTGAAAATTTTAAACTAAAATTTTTGAACTGTAGTAATATAATTAATGTAGTAATTATAATTATCGAACGTTATAAAGAAAATATGGAATTAAATTTTGCAAGCAAATTTAAATTTGATGAAAAACAAGTTAAGGGATCTTCCGTAAAAATCAAGGTACTTTCAAAAGAGATTAATTCCTAGTATTGTCTGAGGATCCGTCTCCAAGATATTTTTGAACAAATTGGCGTACTCCGTATACGTTATCTGTAGTTAAACGTACACTTGGCCGCGGCTTTGCAATCGGGACGCACGCAGCGCATCCGGAACAAGCATCCCGGTTTCGCGTCTCGTCAGAGAGGCAAATCGAGCGGACGGGCAAAGTTGCGAGCGAGCTTGCTTTGTGGTCGAATGGCGAATTTTACGGTTCGGTGAGCCGAAGGTAAGTATCGCGAGCGGACATGTGTATCCGCGAGTTTACCGTCGCAGTTCGACCGCGAAACTGCAGCGGAACTGCCAAAGTTGCTCCGAAGGGTAATTCTCAGTGTCTGATACCGTGTCTATAAAAGCCAGATTGCAAGATTTGCGTACATTTCGCATTTAATCGCATTTTCTGCAAATGCATTATATTTCCATTTACTTGTAAAATTATTCCGCATCATAGTCACAAAAAGAAATCGCGAAATATAATGGCAATTACGTTAAGAGAACGATTCTTCTTATGACAGAAAGGAAAACGTTAAAAAGGGACTGATTTGTGCTCAAGAAGGTGTAAATAAAAGGAATAGTGTTTTTTATGGATTCTGACTTTATGAATATGATAATATTAATAACAAATTGGGGGCAAATAGGGAATATCTTGAAAAATTGAGCACGAACATGGTGTATTTATGCAAATTTCAATATTTTTGCTTAATTTTTCCTCAACCAAAACTTAATAAGTGCCATTTAATCTCTCATTGCATTTTAATTCAATGTAGTTCTACATATCTGAAAAAATGTGTTTTTTCATTGAAAAATGTGAAACTCGTGCATGTATTTTTTTACTCATTAGTTTAAAATTTGTCATGCTTTTAGCATTACACGTAAACGCTATCAAAAGTATACTCGTTCACTAGCCATTTCACTGCAAAAAATGACTCGTAATTCCACAAAATAAAATACATAGAATTACAGAAAATTTAATAACTTCTAAATGGGACAGAGCACTTTTCTGTGGTAAACACATAAAACGAACAAACGAATTTTCACACATTACAGTAAGAAACACATATTTGCGCATTAAATGTACATAAAATGATGAACATTTAAAATTAAAATGTTTAAAAATTAATATCGTTAATTTATATGAAATTTTATTTCATAGAACAATAGTTTATTGTACAAGTATAATTATTTCATAGAAAATTTTTACGTATGTATATAATACTCTTCTCTAGGCGTAATTTTCAATCGTTACATTTAAATTAGCAAAAAAAATTTATTACATATATTTTAAAATACTATAGTGCGAAATGCTAAAGTATAATAAAAGTTAAGAATAAAAGAATTGAATAGAATTCTATTCTTTGATAAATTATAACAAATCTCATTATTCATTGTCATTAATTCAATTTAATTTTAATTCAATTTTCATTAATATATTATATTTAATTTTAATTAATACATTTTTTCAAGAAAATATTAAGTTTCTACTTTTATATATACCATGCTGAGATTGTCTAAAAATTATGTTAAAATGCAACCGCATTTCGGCTTGGTAGGAAAAGAGAAAATTTGAGAAATTAATATTTCTTGCAAAACCAGAGCAATAAATTTCATCAATAAACTCACGAATCACATTTCGGTTGACAATTTCGAACACGTTAAATACCACGGTGGTCACCTATGGTCAGAGCAATCACATCGAAGCGTTTCGTTAATTTTTGACACAACCACGAGCGTTCAGGAAGTCACATGTTGTGACAATGGATCAATTAACGAGTACACATGTTTAAAAATTTTCATTTTATCTTTATACAATTAAATGCGTCGCGCGTTCTTAATTCTAGAGATGCTGTCATTCGCGGAAAAAATAAAAGCGTCTACGGAGGATGCGCTGCGCGTGGTCGCCGTTTGCAATAGCCATCGGAAAAGTTACGATCGCTCGGCAGATCTACGAGTATACTTACGATGGACCCGAAAGAGTGGTACGGTCGCACGCCAAGCTCTTAGGCGCACTAGTTTACAGGTGTTAGGCGCGTAGGCGTGTAATTCGGCCGGAAGGAGAGCGCTTTAAGCCCGCCACCCCTGTTCGTTCGCTCGCTTGCTTGCTTGTTTGTTTGCCAGCTCACAGTCTGCGGTTCGCGAATGGTGCCGGTGGTGATGAGCGCGAATGCGTGGAGACGATCGACGCCTCGACGTTCGCGCGAGAGGTAAAAACACGAGAAAAAGAAATAAGGAGAGAAAGAGAGAGAAAAAGAAAGAATTAGGGGGTTGAGAAAGAGGGAGAATCCGAGGAGAAGCCTCGGATATCACAATATGGGTACGTGTTATTTGCTGCTACCAACGTTTCTTTTTTTTCCTATCTGCTTTCAGTTCCTGCTTACTATTCTACATTTTTTTTCACTTTCCATGTCGTTTATTTTTTTTTTCGCTTTTTTTTTATGGGACAGACGAGTCCCAGCAGTCGCTCGAGGTACGTATGCAATTCCGAAGATGGACACGGACGGGCGAAGAAAGTTCCCAAAGGAGGCGCGAGAAAATATCACGTGTAAAAAAATATACATATGCGGTTTCGTGGACCGAATAGCGACAAGAGTGATATAACTGTAACAATGTGTTGCCGAATAACAAATAACAAAATTCTGAAATATTCTGTGGTCAGTTTATAAATGTATGAATTTCAAATTCAATGTTACTTGATTCGACGGGAATCGAATATATGTGCGTGCGACCGCATTTAAAAACGATCGTTACTGTTACATTGTAAATACATTGCAATTGCATTGTAACACTCAAATAAGAGGATTAATTGATCAACAGGATGTTCACTGAAATCTTGTGGAAAAATTCCCTGAGAATTTCCGGATTTTCCAGATATTTTTATTCAAAATTCCAGGTAAGATTAGAAAATTTTTTTAATGCAACTTTGAGATAAATTAGTGTGCAAGCAACGCAAATTAACTACGTATTAAAAATTAGTAGAAAATTCTACGAGACTATATCTATCATTTTCTACAATTGCCGCGAAATCTATACGATAAGAAAAACTCATTATAATATATAGTATCACTACTTTTTTCTATTGAATATTGTCTTCTATTTTTATCCTGAATTTTTAAATAAAAACTCGCAATACTTATTGCTAATTGATTGTCAACATTTTTTATCATCAAGAAAAGTGTTTGCAAAAAAACTATATTTTCAAAAAAACATAGAAATTAAATTTAAAGATTAATGGGTCAATTCTAAGCAGAATCGTAAAACTCGTAACGTGTTCTCGTAAAACTTGTATATATAAGAACTTATGACTAGTATTCTAATTTTATGCGTATGGATCGTAAGACGTACGATTATTCGTAAATACTTAGTTTCTTATAAATTTTATGGGTAGTAAGAAGTTGTCTGTAAAAATATTGTATAAAGGTATAAGCACTTAAAAATTCTTACAAGTCTTACAGGAATATGTTACGAGCCTTACGATTCTGCTTAGAATTTAGGCATAAATTAAAAAAATTTTTTTGAGTACCGATAAAATTCCATGAAACTCCCTGATTTGTAAGGGTAAAAGAGAAATCTCTCGAAAATTGCAGTTGTTGCAATTGTTTTCCAAGTTTTCCAGATAGTAAACATCATAGATTAATTACATTTTTTTACACGGAATTCAAATTCTAGACATAGAATCAAATGGAGGAGATTTGTTTTCCGTTCCTTTAACGCCGTTCCTACGTGTCGCGCAACCACGGCTCCGTAGAGGGTGTAAACATCTTCGCGAAGCGAGATTACAAATCGCCTCACAGCGAGGAACTTCCCTCTGCCCGTAACCGTAACCGAGTGACGATGCTGTTCGGCTGCAGTTTATTCGACGATGCAAATGTGACGGAGTGACGTACGTGCTCATGCTCGCGTGACTGCGTGAAGAGTGCTGTGCCGTGCCGTGCTGTGCACGCGCGTCGTGCTTGCGGCTTGAAGCGCGAGCGGAGTCGCTCGTTTTCGGAACTAGAGAGATCTCAAAGATTACAAAATCTAATATTCCGCAGGAAAAGCTCGAGACGTCGGCGATGCTCGAAAGTAGGGCGAAAGAAACCAAGAAGGCGAAAAGGAGTGAAAATGGATGAAAAAAAAGTCGCACATTTTTCGCTCAGAAGAGAGAATTACGGCAAATTTGTTCTCTTTGGTATTACGGAGAATTTAATCGGCAAAAAATAGAAGATCGACGATTGAAATCTTCAGACGAATCAAGTGCAATTTCACATTTAAATCTACCGAAATAATTAATGCTGAAATTCATCAGACGAAAATCGAAGGATGATTAATATTTTGCTAATTTCTTAAATTAGATTAATTAGAATTGAGGTACGAGCAAGCAAACGAAATATGTTAAAACCGATATATAAACGCAGAGGCTTTACGAGGAGATCCGTTCCTCCAACGCGGAATTAAGAGCGACGTAATCGGGAATATCAAATCAGGCAATCTCTAAGGCCATGTGATGGAAATTTTACTGACGCTATAAACACTCGATCTATATATATCTACATATGTAGATTCAGACTGGAGAGGCATGTGTTGTGACACGTTGTAAAAAAACAGACTGAATCCCACGCGGAAGAAAACTACGGTTACGTCATGCTACGTACATAAGAGATCTAAATGGTGACAACCCAAGTCAAGAAGCATGCGGTTATCAGCGTCCGAGGGACGTGAGTGTTCGATGTACTTTTGCTATCATGCAAAAACATGCATATACCATGCGGGACGCAGGATGCAACGGGAAGGTTCAAGAGGGTATCAGGGAACAGATTGGATGGACCATCTCTTTCTTTTTTTTCTTCTTTTAATTTGTTTCTGCTTCCTGCTACGTTCGGATTCAATCAACGGATAACGGGATCGGTCGGATGGCTGAGTAGGGATGGGGGTGGATGGATGGTCATACGGGGTTACTTTGGTCGATGGTCGGCGGCGGTCGGAGGACCTCGCTGAAGCTTACCCTCTTCCCTTGCTTTCCCCGAGTACCCTTCTCGCCGGGTAGGCCGGGCGGTCCTGTCGGGCCCAGTTCTCCCTTCTCGCCCGGAGACCCTGCGTGCCGTGGATAAGATGAGACATGGTGCCCGCACACCACGCTGGCTCGTCCGCACGCACGCACGCGAACGAGCAGCGCGGAATTTCCATTTTTCGAAGATTCTCTTCGAGTGATCGAACGCCAAGCCGCGTTTGACGACGGATCGCGTGATCGAGCTTTACGGAAGTAGATATGAACCGAAAGAACGCGGCTTGCGGCGATTTTGAAATAAAACAAATTGCGCGAAGAAATTTTGCGACAGGTAACGCGATCGGTTGAAATATTACAATGTAAACCCGAATGTAACATGATCAATTAAGATTGAACGACTACACGTAAAAAATGATTTTGCTAAAGTATCTAAAAATTCAGCTATATAAGATACAAATCTGAAGATAATTTTGTCGGTCCATCAAAATAATTATGTAGAATGCTTAAGCGTGAATGACAATGTTAGAAAAAGTTTTAACATTCTATTAATTAGTTTGAACTCCCTACATAATTATTTCGATAGTTGAAACAAAATTTTATCGAGAAAAAAATTTATTAAATCTTAATATATAATTTTTTAATATAGTATTATAACTGAAGATTTACAATAAATAAATATTTATTTAATAACAAATTGAGATAGTTACATCAAATTAATAATTCTTGTACAAGTAAAGATAAATATACATTGAATTAACATTAATCGAACAAATATTTATTAAAGTTTAGTACATTTTTTTAATGTAGCTAAATTTTTTAATACTTCAGTAAAATCATTCTTTCTGTGTAAGAATTGAAAATTGCGGTCTGTCAAGCGTCGTACAGATTAAAGATGAACGCACATAGAAGTAGAAGTAAGCAGCAAGCAGTAAGTAATAAGCATTAAGACGTATGAAGTAGTAATTAACATTGCCAGTATATCTATACATATGAAAGATGGCGGTCTTACGTTTTATTGCTTACTGCTTACTGCTTACTTCTACTTTTATGTGCATTCATCTTAACACTTCATTTGCAGTGACGTGCTTGATCGTTACTTTTTTATCGACTGTCTTTTGATTTATCTACAGTTCTCAGATAGAACTGACAGCAATATATTCTCGCAACGAAAACGATCAATGTTGTTCTGTCACACGGCAAAAGAACTTCTATATCTGCATAATAGGATTTTCTTTCATTTGCTCGCCAGTAATAGAATGACATTTGTGATAACTTCTGTTACACTGATAAAAATTAGAGAATATTTTGTCTCTATAAAATTTATATCAAATCGATATAAAGTTAAATAAATTTAATTTTATATTATATTTTCTTTTATATTTTATAAGAAAACTTCTTTGAGAAATGAATTTGAAATTTGTTTATCTTCCTTTAGTGATTAATATCGCTAAACAGATCAACTGTTAACTTGCGCGTGTTACTTGTTTTAACGCTCGAGCTACCTTTTCTAGATGTTATTTATATTATAAGTCACGAAATAGCAACTGTGTGTGTGTGTGCAAAAATTTCCACGTGCACAAAACGAAATTCGAGGGTCGCACGAGCGAATCGCACCGTACAGAGTAAATACACCGCGTGGCGCGCACCGTTGATTCTAAAATACGACTTCGTACAATATCGACAGTAGCGAGTTTCTGCGACTCCGCTGCTTGTTGCAGTTCGTGCCATGAAATTGCGAGACGGATTTGTATGTGGCTAAATTAATTCTGTCAGGCGCGCATGTATAATGCTCGGAAACGTTGTTACCCATCCTTGGTTCTCTGCTGTCATCGTACAACGGTATAAAGACGGATTAGCGTTCGCGTAATTTCATTTCTGTCAAATGCATTGGACTCGTAGTTGTTAGCCATGCTTTTCATGACGTTGTCTTCGACACGATCATATCGGAGTTATCTTATCAACGCTACATTATTTTCTTGCATAGACGAAGATAAATTGACGTAAAGCTTTCATCTAAAATTCAGGAGGTTTTTACAAAAAAGAGGACTTTAATCCGGTCTTTCTGCTAAATCCCCCTTTTGAGATCTTTACCTTCAGTTCATTCTTGATTGGAATAAAAGATTTTATCTCGAAATATGATCTAAGTACTTTTTATTATAAAGGAGATTAATTCCATTCGAATCGAATAAAGTTATTTTGAGGACTGTATGTTTGCAATTTCATAAATAAATTGCATAAATTTTCAATGATTGGTTTTCCAATCGTCTCTTTAAACTAGTTACAGGTTTCCTAACGAGCGCTTAAAACTGTTTCGGTGTTTCCTATTTTCCTGACGGTTCTCACTCAATTATAATCACGGTGTTTCTCTCGCGGATCAATCATGTCGCGAGGCAGATAACTGATACTTGCGACGCTTTTGCCAATATCCGACATATCACGGTCAACACGGCGCGCTGTAAACGGTCGTTTACGAGTAGCGAGATCGGATTCTGAATACGTCCGCGATCGTAAATCATTTTCTCGCCGTCGCGCGGTATGGCAGGGTGAGCGTACGAACGTTGACGAACGACCGAGTCGTGAGATATTGGCGCGAGAGGTGGGTCGGAATTTTTTAAGTCGACAGTCGCGCTCGTCTTTACGTGACGAGATATTCCCCAGCTTCCGCTTGCCGAGCGGTGCCGTACCTCAGGACTGCGCATTTATTACCCTCTGCACTATTCACGAGAAGCGTGTCTCTTATCTTGTAATTTTAAACAGCTGAATCTTTTACACAGAGTATCTTAGAATTGTCGTGACAGCTCCCAGAGGCTACAGATTTCTCGGTTGCACTTAGAAGCGATTTTTTTCTCGGCGAATATTCATGAAAATTCTACGTCGGTCGCATCTTTATAACGTTAGCGCTATTAAACATCTCAGTTCAACGAAATTTGGATTATATATTATGAAGTTAATTCAATTTTCTACGAAGTTAAGACTTACTTATGAATTTTTTAAAACCTCTTGTCACATTCTGTTTACTTTAAAATTATATAATCCTGGGTTTGAAGTAACGTTGCGTACTGTAATACTTTAACGTGTTTAAGTAACGATGACATCTTATTATTTTTCTTTTATTACGAACATTTTTCTAATGTTTCTTATAATTGTCTTTTTTTTGTAAGATTATTTTCATCCAAGTAAAGGAAAAGGTGATTATGTGGCTTCTGCTTCCAACATGAGTCCTACTTAAAGTTCTATTATAATTAACACCATTTCTTGCAAAAGATTTTTAACTTGTTCTTAGAATGGGTATCGAAATGTGAAACATTACTGTCATGATTGGCGAGACCTTTTTGTCGACAGGATCAACGCAAAAGTATTGCTAGGAGGACGTATTAATGAAAAGAAATTTCGGAATTTGATAATGTCTGAATACGTTTAGAATTTTCTATGAGATTAAATTATTTGGATTTCATGGGAAGTTTTAAAAGACCTGAAGAAACTAGATTCCATAGAAGAGGTCCCACTTTACCATCACAGATACTCACATCATAACGTCTCGTTCATTTAAACAATTTCTCCCATTTTGTCAACTACCTCAATTATTTCAAGTATATTTTTATTAAACTCAGATCAATAAAGTATCTGCGATACGATTGACTTGAATATAATTAAAAAATACAAAAATTACACAGAAAAACAAAATGGAGGCCCACATTATCGCCTTTTCCTCTACGAATTTCGCGAGATATCATCATGTACATAAATGTGTGCGCAGTTTTTTGGATGGTGCTCCTCGAGGACGCTCAACTCCCGAAGGGTTAACGTCCGATCCGCACGGGACGAGTGGCGGTAGAAAAAAAAAGGAGGCTCGCGCGAATGGCAAAGAAAGATTTGCTCACGGCCGCATATATTACTACGCCGGCGAGACACAGCACGTATATACGCCCACCGTGCGCGATCGCTTCTCTTCTTGAGGAACCTGCACGGTCATCCAAGTCAAGATTTCCTCGTCAAACATTTCCGCCTTTTCTTTGCCCGAGGTCACACCGGCGCGCGGAGATAATCGATTCGCGAAGATAATCGGATGAATACCATATCGCGTTCCGATTCCGAATTGTCGCGCGTGACCGACTTAATTCTCTCGTGGATCACGATACTAATGATTTTTCAATCGCGCACTGCCCGTCAAAAGAATCCACGAGGGAATTATAAAGTGGAAGATTACAGCATTAAATAATATTGTTAAAATAAAGATGTGGAAAATATCAATTTTAATAAACGATGTGAAAAATATTAATTTAATAAAACGTATTAAATGAAATGTAAAATACTGTCGAGGAAATGAAAAATAAACGACGCAAAGAAGAAAAATAACGTCTAGCTCCGTGTATTCCGTGATTTCCTGATATAATTAGAAAAGCTACGATATCAGATTCAAATGAAATGCTAACGAAATAAATAATTTGCATAGAAGATTCGTAGAGAGTTACCGTGACGTGTTCTCGTATTCCTCACGGGAATGCAATTGACGTGTAATGTTTAATCATTTATTTCATATGCAGATTATCTCGTTTGTATGCTTACCAGGTGGTCCTGGTGGACCAGGTGGGCCTTCAAATACTCCACTTGGAAACTGCTCACCCTTTAAGGTCGTCGTGAAGCCCCGATCGCCCTTATCACCCCTGTCACCCTGTCGAAAATAAACTTTCGATGATTTTTCGATAATTATTCCATATTCACGCAACTCCTCTCTCATATTTCTCGCTTCGTTACAATAATTATTTTCTGAAAATTAAATTATCACGTTTCTTTTTCCACTGCAATTCTGTCCAACGCATACGACAGGTTAATTAAAAGAACACTTTCCTAAATGGATAGCGTTTGATGATCCTTTATCGTGGCAGTATCAAGCGTCAGTAATTAATATGCAGGAACGTGCTTTCGAATGTAATTAATTATAGTTGGATTAAATTAACAATGCGCCGGACGTAATTAATACTCCATTGTTCTGTAATCGCTCTGTTGTACTCCATTAATAATTATCAGTTACGTAACCTCTTGAATGGCAATATTAAGAGCGTAATATCTACGTTGCGCTTTTTTTCAACGACAGGCAGCGAGTTTACTAGTTTTTAAGTGTAAAAAACATTTTAAATAATACAAAAAATAGTGCATATTCTTCGCGCTAAATATGTAGATTGAATGGTTTATCGCTCGCTATTAAACGAAATTGAGACGCCGTTGAAATTTGAGAGAAATTCAAAATCCCATGAGATTAGCCGGATTTGTTTCAAACCACGTACTTGAAAGCACGCGGCCCGTAATCATTACATAATTCCACGGTATAACGTGGTTACCTGCGGTGATACATCCGTAATATTAAATCACTCTCTGTGGAATTTTGAATCCGCGGTATCAGATGTTTGATATTTCGAAATACGCAAGCCCGTGATTATGCGTGAAATCGTGCTTTATAATATCAATCGGATAAATAAAGTTAAGTTTAATTCCAGTTAAACGCCAGTATTATCAATTCAGCTATCGACGAATCGGAAATGGAGATAATTTATACAACGATATGATGTAACATATTTTTATACAATAAATTTTATGAAAATAAAATTTATTTATATTATCTTGTGAATGTGTAGCATGTTCACGCGAGAATCCAAATTTTGCAACATTTTTGCTTTTTTGCTTTTTATCTTTATTTCTTTAATGTCAGAATAATTACAAATCCCTTTTAATGCATTTTTAATTAATATTAATGAGAATTAATTCATCATTTGAGAGATAATTTTAGTTTTTTAATTATCTTTCCCCAGCTCAACTTGGTGTATAATTAAAACAACTTTTTGATATGTTTAGAAATTATCTATATATTACACGCAAAAAAGCGCAAATGAGATTTATAAATTCCAATAAAACTTTTTAAAAATTCTCTACACAGAATATTTTTATAACATTCTAATATATTTTTAAAAGATAATATTGGAAAAGAATCTTTTAAATAGGTCACTTATTCCCCTCCACTCTTTTTAATGTTAGTGCATTCTTTGCTAAGAGAAAGAATGCTATTTTCACTTCTTTCATGATGGGAAGCATCTGTCACGTCATGAAAAAAAGGACCGAGAAAAGCTCTTTAAATTTACGGAAATAGGTGACACTTGATATCTCGATGTCCCAAAGACGAGGATAGTCGACGTGTAACCAGAGATAAAACGTGGATTAAATCTGTCTGACTTACCTTGGGACCTGCAAGTCCTGACGTGCCCGTCGGGCCGATGGGCCCAATCGGCCCGGGCGGGCCCTTCTCCCCTGGTGCGCCAACCTCGCCCGGAATCCCCTGTCTGCCCTCATGTCCAGGAAGACCCTCGGCTCCTGGCGGACCGGGTGGTCCCGGCGGCCCGGGTTCACCCGGTTCTCCCTGTTACGTCCCAAGAGCGTTACGTCGTTACGGCTTTTCTCTCCGGCGAGAGCCCTCGACACAAGAGTGTCTCTCGGTACTCGTCGGTTTGTGCCACGGACTGACGGGGGATCGACAAGGGGAAAAGAGAGAAGAAGGGAGGTCAAAGAAGAAGGAGAGTCGTATGTGTGGCATACGATCTCTCGGGTTAGGATGGCGAAACAGTAAAAAGAAGTAGATAGGAAAGCGAGAGAACGACAGATAGACAGAGCAAGAGAGAGAGAGAGAGGCACAGACGAAGTTAGTAAAGAGTGGAGAGAGAGAGAGAGAGAGAGAGAGAGAGAGAGAGAGAGAGAAGAGAGGGAGGTATGTGGACTGGCGGATGGACGCAGGAAAAAGGAGAACTCGCGAGAGAACAGTGCATGGAAACGAGAAAGATCTCGGCGCGCGCGCGCGCGGGGGTACGGGGTTGCTCTTCGCGCGGATTTATGGTTTCACGATGCGGCGAGTAACTACAGCGAATTACGAAATGGACCTTTTATCGTGTTACAGTATTACTCCATGGTCCTGCTTCGACGGCGCGAAAGGGCGAGTGAAAAGTTTTCATTTAGTGCGAGAGAATTTTTCATTATCTCTCTCTTGTAAAAAGATGCCCAAAGATGCTGGAGGTGTAATCGGATGTCGCGGAGAAATACCTCCCTAGTGGTCTTTAGATCGTTTTTTTTTCTTCCATAGATACTTTTACGCGATCGTTTTCGACGTAATGTAGAAAAGTTTCCGATGTAACAGAGAAGCCGTTAAAAGACAGTGTCCATTGTCCGGAGCTAAAATCGTGGTACGATAAGTTCGAAGGCAATTTTGAAATATCTTTAAGCGAACAAGTTTTATCTTTCTTTCTGCAGTTATTGGCACTTATTCGAAGTAAAGTAATTCAATGAAACAGAAAAAACTAGAGCTGGTGAGGTGAGAGAGAGATAAGTTTTGATTATACTTTTAAGTAGTTTTAACTAATGGGATTTTTGTGAAAAACGTTTAATTAATTCTTGTTTCATCATTATCGGAGAGAAAGTCAACAAGCGAATATCTTTGTTAATTTTTTTTGCAGAATTAAATATCCCGATAATAAAATTATAGATATTTTTAAATTCCTATCGATATAAAATTCCATTAAAATTATCGAAAGATCAGAATTTTATTTTTAATAATTAATACTTGTGCGGCGCGTGTATGACGATACGAAAAATATCGCTGTCAGTATACGTGTCATATGCGGAATACTACGCGTGCTCTCTCGGGTCAAATATTAATTAGACCCTTCATCAAACGCATTCGGGAACGATGAATGCCGCGGTTCGTCGAAGGCCCAGCTATTGAAACAGCATTTTCCAGCGGCGATGAGACAGCCCGCGTATACGAGTGAGCAATTAATTTCTGTCACGACCGGAGAGACACATCAGCGGGGTCCGAGCAACCTCACCCGAGCAACCTCACCCGAGCAACCACCCCCGTAGCAAATGCGCGCGGAGAACACGTGTTTATATGCGTTCGCGAGAGACAACGCGGGAAAGACGATATGTGCGCGATAACGCGCCGCGACTCGACCACATTGAGCGCATACACATGCATGCAATCGCGAACCTGGATGATGGCCGAGACAAATAACGATGGATCGTCGTTCGGCGCGTACAGGCGGGACACCACATACACGCACAATATGCCCAGGCAGACAGAAATGTACGAGCAACGCAACGTTTAGAGAAGTCTACGACACGCGGCATGCATGCGCCAGACGTATTGTACACGCACGTACACATATCCCGAGGGCGCAGGTGCCCCGCGGATGAAAACTCAACCCGGAATAGCCCGTCGAGGCGCGTTTTCGGAGATATACGCGGCCGTCGCGAGCATTTTGCGTGAGGGCAACATGTTTCATGGTTGACAAAAAAGAGAGAAGGGATAGAATAATTTTTCAGCGCAGCCTATTTTTTAATTTCTCTCCCGCGTACGCCGGAACCGATAGAGGCCTGAGGCACCGAGAGCCGTAATTAAACAATAGATCTGAATATTCATACAAGAATATTCATACGAGAAGACAAATATGAGAGTTCTATCATATTTAAAGATGATTAAATCTCTTCATGTTGTTATAGAAAAATTAAAAAATTAAATGTCGCTATTTTACTTTAAAGTGACACAATTAAGAAAAATGTGATTTTTTTTATTAGGTACTATGAAGTTATTACTATGAATGAGTTAAGAAGGTTTCAGAATTATAATTTATAATTATATAAATTTATAATATATAATTGTAAATATATTGATAATATATAGAAAATATATATATAATAATGGACTCCTTAAGAGGAAAGAAATTAAATTTGAAGGGGCTAATTAGGAGTCAGCGCAGTCAGGTAAGAAGTGCGCAAATTTATATTCAAAAAAATATTTAGTAGACTCTTAATTAGCTCCTTTTCAAATTTAATTTCTTTGATAATATATAATTGATATAATATATAATTGGATTCAGAGATCGTCCAGATTCTAAATCGCCGTCATATTTTGTACCACTTTCAAATAGAATATAGAAAAATGTGTAATTTTTCACCTTGTTAAAAAAAATATATGTAATACATTCATACAAATAAATATTACCAACTAATTTAATTTTATAAAAAATAGTTAAAGTCCTTACAACTCAAAAAGGATTTTAAAAAATCATCAAAAAAAATGATTTTTAAGCGTTGTGAAACAAAAATGACAAAAATAACATATGATCATATTAAAAATATATTCTTTTTGCCGATATTATTCGATTAATTAATAATTTTTTGTCAAATTGGATAATACTTTTCCACTCTTCTGGGAAACTTAATTTTTTGAATTGTGTCACTTTTGAAGTAAAGGAACGATGTGAAACTATATGGCATACTATTTATTTTTTTTAGAAAAATTTAGTTAAATAAATAAAATCCTTTTGCTTGATTCAAATATAATAAATATCAAGTTTATACGATGGAGACTTCGATACAACTAATTGAACTCAACTTAGACTATTTCGTTTTGCTCTGCTTCTACGGAATCTTCTGCGAAAAAGAGTGGAAGCATGAAAAACGACCAACTTCTCGCATCCCATGAATACTTACAATTAGACGTAATGGGGTTCTTTAACAGAATAGTTAACTGTGGTTAGCGTTACATTATTGAATTCTCGAACGTAGTTCTAGTTGTAGCGTCGCTAGAGAAAGGAAATTTAGCTCATTATGGCTAACCATCCCTACCAATATTTCGCGGTCGCGCTATTGTCATTTATTATTTGCATTACCTTTATGCTTTATCACTGCCATTGTGTCAAGCGATCTCATCTATCTCCATGTAAATATATTACAACGCGCTCGTACCTTCAAAAGCATCTCTATCGATACTCGCAATCGCGTCCGCATCGCAACTGTATTGAAATAGGTCACTCGCGTTTCTCTTTTAGTAGCAGATACGCTTCCTGAAGCAGCATTCTCGAAATAAGATTTATTCTCTCAAATAGACTTTCGGTGCAACTGCCTCTGATTTTCTTTTTCTTTGATGTCACCCCTTTTAATAACGAACAATCCATCCGATCTATCACGATAATCGTCTAACGAGTATACATCGTGTATTCGAGTTTCGGTTGACCAACGCCCGCCGGAGAATCAGCAATTACTTATTCATTCCCGACAGCTACATCAATACACCATCATCGTGCGATATCATGCGACTGCGATACGATCACAGGCAAGTCTACGGATACCACCTACGCGCTATAAATCGCCCGCGCATTCATCCAGCGGGTGGATGCACACCCGTAGGTGGGTAGCACACACACATCGCACTACGCCATAGAGAGAATAGGATAGACTGCAGATGTTACAAAGTAGTATCATGCAACGCACGCACGCACGCGCCCCAATGTGTACGGGTGCGTGTGCGATTTTCGCATCGGCATGCGGGACGGGTGCGGCGGGGTCGTGCATTTTTTACTCGCGCCTTATGTGCGCCAGCGTAACGCTGCCACGTTTGCGTTTTTTTGCTCCCCTCTTCCTTTTTTTTTTCCCTCGCGCACGTTTCCCGTCGGGATTTTTTCGCGGCTACGCGACCACGTAATCCGCGCTTCTCGCGTAAAATTCCCTCTCGCGGAGGCGTTCGTGAATTTCGGATGCTTTTTTTTCCCTCGCGTATGTTTTTCCTTCAGTATTGACACCTTGCCTGCACGTGTTGTGTCGAATGCAAAATCAAACTCAATCATAAAGGTTTATTCGAAAAATATTACTGATAATGATTGTGAATATTTTAGTACAAAACTAAAAAGTCATTATCAATACTTTATTTCATCAGACTTCTGTTATATTCAAGTTTTACTTTTTATTTTATATGTATATAAAGTTGCAATAAAGAGAAATCATTTGATTATATAACACATTTATATTATAACAGACATCATGGATAAACTTTAAGCGAAAGATTGTCTTTGTTGCAAAATCATCATGAAGATTTATTTGACAAATGTACATTACTGATAAAAAAATTTTGAATATTCTATCAGGTACAAAACTCAAAAATTTTGTTATTGTTAATACTTTATTTTATAAAAATCCTGTCATATTTTCAAGTTCTATTTATTATTTTATATGTATATAGTATTGCAACAAAAATATGTGATTTAATTAATGCAAAGTTTTATCAAGACAAAATGTAAGCGAAAAATTGCAAAATTCAGATCTGAATGTCTTTCATCGTAAAATTCAAGTTGAAAATTCTTTTGTCGAATATCTGAAAATTCTTCGACTGTAAATTTGACTTTGAAAATTTCTACGTTGTGAAACCGTAATTCTAAAAATCTTCCGCCTTCGGAATTTGATAAAGCGATACATCTCAAGCGACGGGACGATATCCCCTTTGAGACCCAAACGGCGCTCGTGGAAGCCGTCGTCGTGCCGAGTCAAAGCACTAGCGCGGAGCGGATGTACGAAACGTGCGGGGGGAGGGGAACCGGTTCCATCTCTTACTCTGAAAGAGTATAGGATATCGCACTGTTGGCACTCCACTACCGACCGCGTCTCCGATCTTTCGAGGAATACGAATTCGACGCCGACAAGCAACCACAGCAGCAGCCGAAGCTGAGCCGAGAGGCTGTGTCTGCCTTTCGCGAGAGGATTTGCATTTCGCCCGAGAGATGCAGGAATATCGCGAGGCAAGGCAGTGGCTTTCCTTCGTGGATCTTTGAGCGGTCTTTCCTTTCGCGTATCGAGACAATCGATTATCGAGAATGGTATACGAGACACGCAGTAACTTGTACACGACCCCCAATAGAGAGAGTAGAGTAGAGAGAGAAAGAGAGAGGAAGATGGGGCGTAAGAACGGAGGTATCGAACCGTAAAATAAAAGGGTACGTTGTAAGGGATCCAGCGAACCTCGCGCATGTCGATATGGCGCGAACACAGCGGGATGATTCGACTCGATCCTTGTGCGATCTTCCGAGTTACAACTACTCGAAACTTCCTTCCGCCGTGTTCGCGCCTCGTTCGTTCCCTCGGACAAACGGTGCTCAGCGTGAAGCCGCGTCGACCGCGACAAAATTCCACTACGTGATTAAAGGACAGATATATACAGCACGCTCGGTATCGGTTATCCGACCGATAAATAAACCCTCCCGACAACTTCCGGTTGTCGCGACAGCGAACGAGGACGAGAACGAGAACTAAGTTTGCAATCTCGGAGAAAAGGGGAATTAAATCGCCCCGGGATTCCTCCGAGGTGAGCAAACTTTTGTAACTTCTTTGCAGCGCGACAGCTCGTTTCAGCAGGGCATTTTCTACTTTCACCAGCGAATTTAGAATGATCTGGTGGTGTTTAAGCGTCCTCGAGAAAGTATGAATAAACAAAAGATAAGTTCTAAAAATATTCAAGTTAATCTGCAATATCTCTTTCCTTTTTTATATTTTTTCCCCTTCCTTTTGAATATGAGGGCAGTTTAATAAATCAGTGACTTTTTTAACTGTTTTGTTTTTAACAAAATAGTTAAAAAAATTTCGATTTATTTTTCAATATCTTTTAAAAAGTTACTGACTTATCGAACTACGTATATCAAGGCAACTTAAAAAATTTAATGCCTTAAAAATAATGGATGCAGAACGATATTTACGGAAATATTGAGTAACAATGAATAATTAATACATAAATTTATAAAATGTTTTAAAATAAAACGTCTTCTGAAAATAGATCACCGAAGAGTTCTGTTGCAAAATTCGACTCGAGCACCATTCGTCGAGGGATCGATAAAAGGGAAGGAAAATAAGGGGGCTTCCCGAAAAGCAGGCGCACTTACTTTCAGTGGTATGATGTTCTGCGCTGAGATATTAACCCCTTTCTCCTGAAGATCCTAAAAGTAGGTCAACACTACGGGTAAAAAACCAAATCGCTACAAGACAAGAACAGGAGGAGGGGGGGGGGG